TCCTTTCTTTCCTTCCTTCCTCCCTTCTTCCCTCCCTCCCTCCCTTCTTTGCTTCCCTCCTGCCTCCCCGCCCCCTCGGTCCCGGCCGGTCCCGGGTCCGGCTCGCGGACTCACCCTCCAGCCGCAGGTGTCCCCGGGAGGCCCTCTCCTGCCCGGCCCGGCGGCCACGGCCAGCTGGGAGCCGTTCAGGCAGGCGTTCACGGTGAAGAAGAAGGAGCAGAGCTGCAGCCAGGGAGCCATGGTGGACGGGCCGGGGCCGGGGCCGGGGCCGGGGCCGGGGCCGGGGCCGGGGCCGGGGCCAGCAGCCGGGCAGGCAGAACGAGAGCTCGGGGGAGCGCAGCCTCCGCCGCCCGGTGGGACGGCACGGGCCCCCGGGCCGAGCGCTGCCTCTTCGGGACTGCGCTCTGCTGGCCGATGCCGCTGCTGCTGCCGCTGCCGGTGGGTGCCCCTGCCGATGCCGGTGGGTGCCGCTGCCGCTGCCGGTGGGTGCCCCTGCCGATGCCGGTGGGTGCTGCTGCGGCTGCTGCGGCTGCTGCTTGCCCCAACGGTTCCGGCTGCTGCAGCCGCTGAGCTCCTCTGGCAACCTGGGGAGGGAAGAGGGGGAGGGAAGAGGAGGAGGGATGAAGAGGAGGGGTCGGAGAAGGAGGAGGGGTCGGAGAGGAGCGCTCAGAGCATGCGCTCCGGGGAGGGGCGGGCCTGCCAACCCGGGGCCCCCCTCCGACCAGCCCCCTCCTTCCTCCTGGGCTTTCCAGGACCCGGAGCTGCACCAAGAAGGAAAAAGGAGGGGGAACGAGGGGCGGCACCCTGCCTTCTCCAGCCCTCCGGACGTCCCTGTCTCCCCCCATCTCGTGCTCCCCAAAGTTAGGCTGGTTTGTTCTGCCTGAGAAGCCCGGAATGTGAGCGGGGACCCGGGGGGGCGCCCAGTAAATGGCTCGGCAGCTGGATTTTAATGAGGAAGGAATGGAGGCTGCCAGGATACCCCGGGATGCCGCTGGGCTCCATGACCTCCGCCTTGCCTTGGTTGGTCATCCACCTCCTTAGTGCCTTTTCTTCCCAGCGTGTCAGGGTTCTCCCTGGAGCCGTCTGGCGTAGAGTACCTGGGAAGGAAAACCAGATTTCCTTTAGGGGCAGAAGGCCTTCCAGTTCCCAGGAAGAAAATCCTGTCCCATCTCCTTCTGCTCTGCCCGGGGATTTTTATCATCCGGGGAGGACCTAACTGAAGGAGGGGGCGTTGTTAGTAAACCAGACCTCCCCGCCCCCAATCCCCAGCTCCTGATCGTTTGTGCCATACCTCCAAATAATCACGTTTGTATTTGTATTGTAGGTACCCATATAGGTACTTCTTGTCTCCCTTCAAAGATTGGAAGCTCCCCGAAGGCAGGGACCGTTTGACTCCTTTCTTTGCAGTCTCAATACCTGGCAAATAGTAGTCATTTAGTAAATGCTTGCCGACTGTCAGGAAATTGAGGAGAGCTCATCTTGACCATGCCTCTTCAGCTCTGCTTCCTTTCTCACTAATCTCCCCCCTTTCCCTTCTTTTCGACCCTTGAGTAGGCCCTTTCACTGTCCCTGCCCTTGTCCTAAGCATTAAAAACTGAAGGGACCAGCCTTAGGTCCCTGCCCTAGTGAAGTTGATACCGTATTCTGTATTCTCTTCTCCAAAGAGGCTCCGCCACTGGTTTACTTCAAACTGCCAGACAAATTTTCCACGAGGCTGGAAAATCTCATGTCTTCGTTGTTATCATTGTTAGCCCTGGAATCAAACACAAATGCTTTCATTCCGAGTTTTCACTGTGCCTTCTCCTAAGGCAGCCTAAAATGACACTAGTTGGGGTTTTTTTGGGGGGGGGCTACCTAGAAGTTCTGACCTTGCCACTCCAGTATTCAAGAAGCATTATGGATTCCCCCTTACCCATAGGATAAACACAAACATACAAACTCAGACTAATCACACATCACTCCCCTTAGCACCCCCTACGTCCAGCCATACCTTCTGACCTGTCCTTTCTGTTAGAATAATGCTTCATCTCCCCTCTGTGTCTGCTGTGTCCTTCCTCACTTCCACCTCTGGGAAATTCTGGCAGTGGGATGACAGAGAAGATAGAAGGCTAGTCTTGGAAGTCAGAAGACTTTGAGTTTCTATTCTTCCTCAACACTGATCAGCCATTCTCCTCATCTCCTTACTTTCCTTGGCTATCAATTTCCAATGAATAACTTTTTGTCAGATGGCTTTTAGGTTCAAGAATTGAATCCTATCTTTCTATATGAGTGATCTTGGGCAAATCATTTTTTTTAACCTCCCTGGGCCTCAGTGCCCTCCTTTGCATAGAGGTAAGATGAGATGATGTCTGTGGTCTCTTCCCACTCTAATTTCTATGATTCTCCCAGATTCCTTCCTAGATTGTGTCTTCTTTGCTAGAGTCAATAGCAGTGAAAGGGAATGAAGAGTGAAGAAGTAGAAAAAATAGAGGAGAAAAAAAAAACAAGGAATGGCATGTTAAGCCATTTGCAAACCTTGAAAGAGAACCATCTGTTGATAGAGACATATGCAGATGTACTTTTTAGTCTTTCTAATTTAGTAGACACCTATTACAACAAAAATCATCATTCCAAAGATTGAGTTCTACTGTGGATTAATGTAACTGTGATGATCAATCTGACCTGACATTAGTAAACCAGAAGGTTCATCTATGTAGATGTGTTATAAAGAAAAGCCTAATAGAGTCATGCCCTACTCCCTTTCCTGCACCTGTATCAGCTACAAAAGGAGTGGAATATCGGAAGGAATTTTGGCATTGAGGAAAAGCACGTACAATGAGGAACCATGTTCACATACAATGGTAGATGTATTGGGTCTGAAGCCTAGTTTGTATCATTTTGCAACAAAGAGCAATAATAATTTATTAATACACTCAATACCTGGGACAACTCCCTCTTCTGCATGGGGCTCCCAGAAAAGCTACCCCAGGTCCACAATACTCAGTGGTCCATATATACTCAAAATCACAACTCATGAACCCCCTCCTCCCAATGTGTTTATTTTTACTAATCACCCAAAGGACAATTCGAAGCAATGGTATTTAATAAAATAGGATAGGAAGAAAAGCAGCGGTAAAAAAAACTAAAAACCTGGGGCACACTCTTCCACAAATATACACACCTTCACTAAGAAAAGTGGATGCCCATAGTGATCACATTTGGCTAGCACACACAAGGAAGGTGAGAAACAAGGGAACATCTGTGGCTAGGGTGCTTTGGGGAAAGCACTCATATAGAGAACATATGTGCCCAGAATCTGTGCAAAACCAGTGCAGCTTATATTTTGATGCTGCAAGGCTGCTGATGTCATCTGGAGCTGTCATCCCCTGCAGTCTGACCTCTGCTGACAGCATTGTCTCTGTTAGGCAATATTCTTCTGCTTTTATGGTCTCAGCTAGGTACATACTCATTGGTATTCCCAGCCTCTTTCTGCTGTCACCTGTTGAGCTTAGAATCCTCAGCTGAGTTGCTACCTTTTCCTTGTAAGAGTAGGCTCTGACATCTCTCTTTTAGCTTAGAGCCTAGACTTTAACACTTTAGCTGGCCCTCACCTACTCAGTCATCAGACTAGGTCCACTGCTTTCTTTTTATTTCAAGAAGTATCTATCAGCAACCAGAATTTTATCCTCTTGGGAAAAGATCTTTTGAATCATTGAACAGTCAACTAATTAGTCAACTAATTAAAGCCTCCAGGTTCTAATTAGGTAGCTTTCTTTTTAAACTACTTCATCTTGGTAACAAGATCAATGTATCTGTCCCAAAGCTCTATCTGACTTAGGGTTAGAAAGTTCCCTTTAACTCCTATTAATGCCTAATCACTAACATACATCCTTCTCAAACAATTTCAGATGGCTGAATTCCCCAAAAAATCCAAAGGACTTCATGGGTCTTAAGCACAATGGCTTACCTCAGCCTCACAAGATCCTCTGATTTATCATGCAAATGCATCCAAGTAAGAACAGATTGAGAGAAAATAGTAAGGTCATTATCTTCCTTGTTTCTGAGCCATATTCCTGCCTTTATCATACGAGGCTAGCAAAACATCTTCAGGGCTTTGTTCCTCATATTTTAAAATGTGTTTTATTTTGCAAAACTATGAAGATAGCTTATTCTTATTTTGCAAGATCTTTCAGCAGCAGACTGACTTAGAATGACCAACACCTATATTGTAATTGATGAGTCCGGCCCCAGCCTCTTTTTCCTGCTTTGTTACCTACCCTTCTGCAGATGTCCTGATTATTCCTGATAGTAGGGGGACCTATGGGGCAGGGAAAGAGAAGGAGATATGGGAGAGAGAGAAATTATGTAAGTAGGTAAATAGAGCATTTGTCAAGTGCTAACTATATAGCAGCCACTCCTCTAAGTGTTTGGGATACAAATACAAGCAAAAAGAAAGTCCCTTCCCTCAAGGAGCTCACATTCTAACGGAGGAAGAGAATGCATAAAAGGGAGCTGAAAATAATTGGGAGCTCTAGAAGAGAAGGTACCCAGTTAGGGGCATGGTAGAGAAGTCCAGAAAGTCAAAGCCAGATTAGTCAAAGAGTAAGAATGACTGACCTGGACACTTCCTCAAAATGTGGATTCCAGAAAGATATTGTTTGTCCTTCATTCTCGAAGAGGACCATGACATCAGGGAGGTGATGTCATGACTTGCAAGTGAATTAGATTTAAGTGAGGGAGGGTTGTGCAAGGTCATCTGCCTCACTTTCTCCTCCAGAGCCATCTGGGTCTAGTGGAAAGATACAGATTAACACGACTGCAGATGGCCCGGATACACTGGCAGGCTGTGGCCTTTTTAGGCTGAGGTCTTTCCCTGGTCTCAGAAAGAACTCCCCAGAGGAAGGAGAGATCTGACGGAGTGGAGGGATCAGAAGCAGGTTTCTGAGGAATGATGAAGTGTGGGGAATCAGAAACAGAGCCAGGCTACACAATACATTTTATTTTGAAACTATTAGTAAAATAACAAGAAATGGAAAAAGTCAGATATAATGATCTTGATTATCAGCATTTCTGTATGAGTTTAACTGCTATAAAATGAGGATCCCAATAACCAAGTTAGTCCGCAAACATTTGATCTCCTTCCAAATAGACAAAGATGATTGTCAAGAATAACACCAGTTTAGAAACAAAGTTAGTTTCTAAAACACTCAGAAAAAGGATGGTGGAAGATTATGAGCAAGATCCTAAAATATTATTTTATG